ACACACACACACACACTGTAGGGGCATTAACAGAGCTTGACAAATAAATCTTCACTTCTGCTTTCTCAGAAAACAGACAGCGAAAGATTATAAACAAACCACTTCACAGTTACTCACTTAGCCACTTGACAGAAACTTGATTTGACTGCTTCAGATACATGAGGGATGTGTTTTACGCGTGCAGACGACTTGAGTCTTGTTGTTTCCCTTTAAACAGTGACACAAGCACATTTTCCATGCAGGGAGGCAGGCAGGCAAGAACACGGACAGGCCTCATTCCCAACTATCTTAACTTACCAATCCCGCGACTAGTGTTGTTAGTGCTCCGCGGGTTAGCTTTAGCTTGAGTGGATGAGCCTGTCTTGCCTGTGGTTTTAGTGGTCTTTTTAGTCCCTGAGGCACCGTCTCTGTGCCGGGCTGTGGCTGCGGTGCCACCCGCGGGTTTGGAAGAGGCAGGCAGAGTGGCACTTTGCTGTTTTTTAGCCTGAACGTCTCGAGGTCGCACCTGGTTTCCCCGGACAAGGGGTTTAGTATCACACCTCTCTGAGCAGATCAGAGGAAAAGCAGGAAAGAAAAGTATGGTATTTAGAGGTGAAAAATATAGATTTGAAAGCAAGATGAAAGACGCACATCTGTGCAAAACAAATGCACAAATGGACATGCAGACAAGCAGAGAGAGAGATACTGGAAGATAAATGGTGAGTTGGACAGAGCTAATGATGGACGATGTTTAATCTGTTAGTCTTGAGCAGCTTTTTTTATATCAAAATGAATAATGTATAAGGCTTGGGATATGACAGATGTAATGCATTCCCCATCCTCCAGTGTGAAGGCATGTTGGTTCTGCTACTGTATTCCCAGTGTTTGTTGCCAGGGGGCTTTGTGATTATTGACAAATGAACAAATGGCTCCAAGTTCAATGCTAACAGGGTTGAGATGAGAACGGCACACTTAAGCAACATCAGACAGAAGAGCAGCTGCCTGTCTCCTGAGGGAGATGGAGGCATTAGGAGATGGCTACTCCTCTTTTCAAACTGCGAATGCACACTGCAGGCTGATATAATGGGAATATCTATTTGAACACATTAGACCTGGTCAGAGATCCCACAGAGGATTCAATGTCAGCCAGAAAACTGCTGCTAATACAAATGCATTCCTCAACCGAGACTTCAAAGCAACCAGCATCTAAAAAAAGCTGCAACAGTTTTAGTTCTAGCATATGAAAATGGAATCGCTAAAGGGCTGTAAAAGTCCCACATTCCCGAGTAACATGACATGTTTCAACACTTTCTGTTGAATGAGCTGAAAGAGCGAATCAACAGTTGTAATTACATTTGTTCAACCAAATGTTCATTCATACGCTTGAGGCATAAAATAGTTTCATGATCATTATAATAAAACTGGAGAGTACTGGAAAGTTGTCTTTCTCTTACGCCCCAATTCTAATCCGTTCTCTTATTTTTTCCTTCTCTGTGTAGAATTTCTTCATTCATCCAACATTGTATCAATATTAACATCTCTGCAGATCATTTATGCTTAATCCAACGTGTGGCCCCTTGGGATATTCACATAGTAACTCTTAGCCACTTCTAATATTGAAAATGGAAGTTGATCACATTCAAAAAGAGCCATTTAAAAGGTTATTTCTCAGTGATGTTTATACTATGCTAGGTCTACAGCCTCAACTAGTACAGAGATCCAAAAGTTAAGAACTCTAATTAGTCTGAGATTCGAGTAACTCAAACAGACGTTACCTGTTTTGTCCTCGGTGCTGACGGGCCCCGAGGCCTGTTCCTCCAGCGTCGTTTCTGGAGACTCAATGTGAACTTTGACCTCCTCTGATGTCACACTGGATGTGGCATGGCCATTCAGATTTTCACTGCTGATTGTTTCCTCTAGAAGAGAAAAACAGTTATTTTAACAGACTCTTGCTCCTCTCCTGTTCTGTAATGTTCAGTTGTAAAGTAGCTGAAAGCAGTTCTGAGTTGTGCAATTACGGCTCCATCATGGGACAATCTGGGTCATTTTGAATACTGATTGGCAGCATAATCCATTTTTTTTATCCCCAAAAGCAGCATATTAATGTTTTTCACAAATGGAGACGTGGAAACAAATAAATGAATTAATAAAGAAACGTGAATAACTGATGTGACAAACCTTGGTCAGGGATGAGAACTCCTTTCCTGATGAGCTCCTCCCTCGTTTGTCTGGTGGAGATTTTTCTTTCCAGAACTAAAGGATGAACATCACAGTCAGTGTTTGATTCAACGGGGGAGGGGGTGGTTGGGGTCTACAGCACAAAAACAATCCTAAAAGCATCGCACAACAGCTGCTTTCAACATCTGTTGTAGCTCTAAAACTTCTTGAGAATGAGAACGTAAGCGATCAATCTGCCACAGTGAGATCTGTAACAGCTGAGTCACCAACTGATCACGCTTAGAGCAGAATTAGAGCTGAAAAGATTAGCCAATTCATCAATTAGGCAATCCAAAACAAAATAAAAAATATGCAACTATTTAGAGAATAAAGATGATCTGATTTCAACTTCTCGAATGTGAAGATTTGCTGCTTTTCATTGTCATATGCAAACTGTTTTGGGCAGATGGCTGGATGAAACAAGGAACTGGAACCAACTTTGGCTCTGGGAAATAATAATTTCCTTTTTCCCTATTTTCATTTCACCATTAGATCCTTACACACAAAACTCCATAAACACAAATACTGAACCAGTGTTTGTTTTCACTTCTAAATACATAGATATAAAGGGTTTCATTTTATAGAAATCTATAAAATGATGCCACGTCCATATCTACCACTCAGCAAGGTAATATTGAACATTTAACACAGGGTTATACCTTTAAATACCAAAGAATTATTAGGAATCCAAATTAAAAAGATGTCTGGGAATCCAAAAGAGCGTGTTAACATATAAGTAATGCAGTTGACACCCCTGAGTGAGGAGAGAGGAGGAAACATTAAACACTCTCAGGGTTCAGCCACTGAATCTCTACTAGCTCTCTAGCTGCATGTGGTCTCTGATGTCCAAAAACTTGATACATTTTTTCACACCTGGACAGTAGCCATGCATTAACTAGAGGGATATGGAGAGATGAAACCTGCATGCAGATACATAATGGGGAAAAGGTCAGATACACCTGGCAGCTAAGAAGAGTCTCTGCTTTTTGTATTTAGTTCTGTTCCCTTTTATTTCCCAGCCAACACTTCAGGAATTAATCAGGGAGAGCTACAAACAAACCGTTCACTCTTTTCCTTTTAAAGTTCTCCTGGGAGCAACACTTAACACTTGTTCATACAATGTCACTGAGATACACAAACAAATGCAGACACACACATACACACACACGCCCTACCTTTGGAAAGATCCTGGAACTTGTCGCTGGTCTTCTTCTTCCTCCACTTCCAGGGTTTGAACAGTTTTCCTAGAGACGACAGCTTGCCTCGCTGCTGCCGTGACGCAGGGGCATTCTGGGTGTTGGTGGCGCTGTCCACCACCACGTCACAGCTGGCCAGTGATGAGGATTTCTCCAACCCATCAACTACAAGACACACATGCAGGAAAACAAGAATATAACATCAAAATGCAGATCATCTGTCCTGTGGCACATGTAGGTAATACACATACTTGATGAATCATAAACATAAACACCATCATGTTTTCTGGTAACAGATAATGCTGGACTTAAATGTGTTCGGGAATACTAAGTCTACATACTACTATATGTACCCGACAAGATTAAATATGTTTATATATACATACATTATATGTTGACAAGATAGCATTTTATAAGAGAAACATATTTCTGCTCCACAAAAGCTAATTGTGTTTTTTTATTATGAAATACTGGAAAGATGTATCTATTTATGTCTATAAAAACGACCCCACTACTACTACT